TTTATTTCTCATGTGAATACTTTACTTGTTGGTTTTTTCTGGCTCGTTTATACCTTTATGACTGAGATGATGTGCAATGTTTGTAATATATTTGAAAAGTGTTTCCTATAAAGCATTTTTTTGGTTTTATTGAGTGATGGCTGTATATTGGAGCATGATTCGTACATCTAAAGTTTTTTTTCAAAACTTATATGTTGTGAATATGTTCAGTATGATTTAGTCAAGAGTCTCATATGAAACGTCATAAATGTGAGACGAGTTAAATCTTGAAAGTTGGTAGTCTTGAGTTTGTAACAGTCAACCACTAAATAGCAGGATGAATGATGGAAGGCAAGTGGTCACGTTTGGAGCGAACGGTATTGGGTTCGCGTCCAGGAGTGAGACGCAGGTACATCCAGTTGACGAGTCACAAATGGAATGAAGCGCACATTCTGCATTCCACTGCTGGCCACTCACCATCTCTGCTAATATAATGCTTATAACCTAATGACCATAAAGAGGCAATCTGCAGAGGATGTACATATATGCCCCAGTGACTGATCAATTACAGTCCTAAACATCAATCAGGAAAATTCAAACATCCAATATTAACAAAATTAATAATAATTGGTTGTGAATGTGTTACGAGCAAAAGGTTGACTAAACCACCCGCCGATTAGCATTCTCCAACCTACTCTGCCCTGTGCCTTTCTTTCTGGTTCCATCCACTTGTCTTTGTTTATTCTTCTCATGTCAGTCTCCATTTCTCAGCGTATTGTATTTCTTGGCCTTCCTCTTCTCCTTTATCGTTGAGTGTTCCAAATGAAGGCTTGCCTTGTGACACAGTTGAATGCTTTGAGAAATTTCAATGCCTAACTAACATTAGTGTAGCAAATATATCTTATTGAATTAATGCTATTAATAATCATAGTACCGACATTACTATGGTAAGCAATTTGTTTAAAAATAAACTCTTAAATTTTGTAGTTGTTGGTGCAAAACATCGGGATTAGATTCAAACACTTTTTTTCTCTTTGATATATTAATTATATCACAACAATCTAACAATAACTGTTTTCTGAATTTAGTTTTTCCGGTCAACGGAAATAAATGTGCTTGTCACACTGTATAAGTAGTAGATATTGTACGAAAGGGAGTGTATATATGTATATATATGCATATGTATACAAAAATTCATTTAATTGTTGACATATCGATGCAGTACTTGTTTTTAGAAAAAAAATATTTGTATAAGATGTTGATAGTCCATACAAGAGTGTTATTATTATTATTATTAGTGATAGTCTATCTAATTCCATGGTTATCTACCTTACCTTATATTTAACTCGATAGCTTAAATTTATATATTAGATATTAACAGTAAAACAAGAGGGAAGTAAGATTTTAGTTTTAAGTTACTAAATAAAGCTCAACAAAATTTATCCGTAAGAGTAAGTAGGTAAGAACGTGAACAATGTTAATCAAAATCATGCAGCATAGCTTACAGACACGTTTCACAAGTGAAGACTGAGGTTAGACAAGGTTGGTTGTTAATCTTACCCTTCCTATTTCTCGTGGTAGTTGTTGACTAGATTATAAAAATGTTAACATTTGGAAAGCTCGGATGCAGCTGAAAAGAAAACATCAAATTCAGGAGAAGACGGCAAGTATAGCATCAGCCTCTGAGATAGTTAGGTTTGAACATACACAAGCAAAAAAGCAACATCCTTCGACACTATGCAACCTTCATCAAGCAAATCAAACTTGTTGAATAGGCTTTGGAAGATGTGAAGGCCTTCAGATACCGGGTCAGCAGTAATGACAAACAAGGTGAAGCTGATGCAGATATGAAGGCGCACATTGGCAAAGCAGTGTCAGCATTTCTACAATCGAAGAACATCTATCACTCAAACAGACTATCAACCAACACCTAAGTTGAAGTTTTCAATACGAATGTTAAAATCGTTCTGCCGTGTGGGGAAGAAAGTCGAAGAACCATAAAAGCCGTGATCCATAAAATACAAGTGTTTATTAACAGTCGTCTACGCAAAATACTTCGGACCCAATCGCCAAACATAATCAGAAACAACCTACTGTGGGAGAGAACAAGCCAGATTCCACTTGAGGAAGAAATCAGAAAGCGCTGGAAGTAGATGGGACACACATTGGGGTAATCACCCATCGGCATCAAAAGGATAGTTCTCACTTGGAATCCTCAAGGTCAAAGAGAACAAACATAACGCCAAAAACCAGATATAAAGGGAAGGAACGTCAGTTGTGTAGAACTAGGAAGGAAAAGTAAGAATAGAGTAGGTTGGATAAAGCTGTTCGGTAGTCTATGCTCCATTAGAGGTAATGAAAATCGGACGCTTAAAATGTTATTTGAAAAAAAGGAAACAAAGCAGGATTTTAAAAAGGAAGAGTAATTTTTAAAAATTATAACTATGACAAAAAGATGCGTATCATGAATATGTTTGTTGTTTGATAGCCGCAGATTAGATTGTGGACTTCGACGAAAATCTCTGTAGTCACTGTCTAAGTCAAATCATAAATCAATAGAATGTTTTATTATAATCTGCCGTAGTTATTTTTTGAAAGTCTATCCTTACTTTATTTGGCATAACGTATACACAAATTACGTTTCGTTTTAATACTGTATTGCAATGCCCCCAATCATTGAAAAGGCCTGTAAATTCGTAAATATTCCTGAGCGAATTTGTTGTGTTTTATTGTTTAAGTAACGTTGTGCATGTTGGATGTTTATATGTGAATACTGACTAGTACGAAATTGAATTTCATGTGAACTTCCCCCTAGTCGTTTCTAACAAACCCTTAAGCTTGTGATCAAGTGTTGTTAAGGCTATGAAGATGGTTTTCATCACTCTTTACTGACTCCTTGATAAAATAAATCTTCCTGGGCACAAAAAGGAAATAGGATTATGTCCCTTCTTTCAGAGTTCTAGGCAAAAATGTTTGAGGCCAATCATAACAAGCCTTTTTTAAGTGTGTTAGCTTCGAACTTTCTAGATTTTATACCCCAGGTGATTAACAGACTTGAGGCAAGTTGAGATGTTATATTTTCTTAAGGACAGACATCTTTATGAAAGAATATCGTCGTCCAAGAGAAACGACTTATTGTCCTCATAACTTAACTAATACAATATGGCGGCAATAAGACCTTAATTTACACTGCTCTTATTCTAGTGCTCTCTCCAATGATGGTAGTTCTAACCAATATATCTTGAGTGATTCATTAATATGTAAATATCCAACAGTTACATCGAGGAAGTGAATACACTTAGGCATTGTAGTCATACTTGTTGATAGCTATCCTTCAAATATATCCGTATCATACACTTAGATGAAATTGAATGTGAAGTTTCTTCTCTTCTACCTTATTGTTCATAGTTTTTCATTGTGAACACTCCGATTCATAGGTTACTTGTTGTCAAATTTACATGCAATTATTTCATATATTGAACATGTGTTTAATACTTTACTTATGTTTGCATGCCGTTGTATTTGATGGAAATTTTAATTTTTCAAGTCTTCAAATATTTTATAAACAAATGCAAACAAACAAACACGATTATAGAAATATAGTTTGTGCATTGTAGAATTATGGAGATTGTTGTTTTACACTGAAATTATGAATCAGTCATTGTTAGACCACCATTAGAAATCTGGAAGCATTAGACAGCCGTTTCATCTTAGTGTGGGACTCATCAGAAGTACGCAGCCACGGGCCCCGCTAGCGGGAATTCAATCAATGACCCTCGGTTTTATCCACGAACGCTTAACCCCTAGACCACCGAGTCGGCATCCAGTGGTGTTAATGTCTAACTATGACTGATGTAAGGATTTTGCGCAACTACTACTCACTGGACTAGTAGTAAATTTCATGTTGTCTAATGTTTAGTGCTCACTAGTGACAACTTTCGAGAGGAAATTCTCGGAGTGAGAGTGATGGTCTAAAAATGATTTATTCGTGATTTCAGTGTAAACAAATATAATAAAATCTGAAAACTATCAGATTATTTAGTTTACGTAAAAAATATTTAGATTTTTAACAAATTTTTAGAAATTCTATTTTTATTCTTGTTTGTTTATTGTAATCAAAACTATATTGTCTCATTATTTTCAAATAATCCGCCATCTTCTAGTGAGATTGTTGAATCCCAGAATTTTCTGTATTTAATAATTTGCATGCCGATGTAAAAAGAGTTTGACAAATAATCTAGAATTTGCATGAAATGGTTGAGGAGATTGTCGAGTTGCTTTATGGAATCATGAATCCATTGATGATAGACCATCATTAGAAACTTGGAAGCGCTGAACGGTTGTTTTGTCCTAATATGGGACCCATCAGGGGCAGTGCGTATCCATGACTCCCGCTACTCGCAGTATTCAAACTCAAGACCTTCTTGGATGTGCACTGCTGATGAGTCGCATATCACGACAACACGGTCGTCTAGTTCTTCCAAGTCTCTAGTGGTGGTCTGACATTGATTGATTCATGATTTCAAAAAGTATTCTAGAATTGATTCATTCCTTTTATTTCACCTCATCATTTATTTAGTTATATCAGTTGCATGTGAATTATATGACTAGTTGCCAGTTGTTTATTGTTTCATTTGTAAAATCATTACTTATTTGAACTGTGGTGTGAGCTACTTATAAGTAGTAAATGACGTGAGTGTCAACATAATGTCTGGCAGCAGAACATGGGGGAAGATCAAGAACGGAAGAGTTAGAAAACAATGGAATTTGTATGAAATGCATTAACAGTGACAATGGATTGATGTTTTGCAACAGGAACAGTCCAGTTCGATATGATGAACTGATATTTTGCAAATTAACGATTTACGATTCCGATTTTACTGAGTAATTTTCGTTAAGTACAATTCGGTTGTCCCACCTGTGTTCTCCTTCACTATAGAACGTGAAATACATACATACATGGTATTTTCACCTTCTTCGATGTTGTTATTCTTCTTCTTTTGTCTTTTTTACCTTTTCAGGAGCAAACAGGTGAAAAGACACCTATAAAAGAAGAAGTAAGTTATTCTGTCAAATATGATTTGTATGGTATATCGTTTGATTTATTTGCATGATTTCACAAAGTATGTTTTTATTCAAATTGTAATATGAGAAACTTAATTACTTACTTCCGCCTGTGTCCCCTAATGAAGCATAGACCTTCTTCTATCAGGGGATTATTTTTCTCGTTAGCGTTTTCATAGAGAGTTGAATTTCTACAGGATGGAGTCGCTAACTCCATGCTCAGCTTTCTTTCTTTATACGGACTTGAGACCGACAGGAACCGTAGAAGGACTCCAGATGGAGTTGATATGCAGAAAGCAATTCATTTGTTTATCTAAGCATACAATATTGCTTACTGTAATGCTTACACTGAGCTGATCATTAATGTGATGTAATATTAAATCTTTACATGGTTGATTGATCAAGTTGTGTTATGAAAATCGAATTTTTGTGACTATCAGGTTTGTGTGACTTAGCATTGTGTGGTGGTGTGTTGTCTTTTGGACAGAATATTCATTTTGATTTTAATTAAGAGCACTTAAAATTATCTACTTTAATAGTAAATATTCATAGAAGTTCTGTGATCTTCCTAAAATGCATGATAATCCGCTAAATTAATATTTTTTAAAGGGTATATTGATATTAGGGACTACAATCCTTTGTTAACATCCGGCTAACAGGTCCTTAATAAGTTGAAATGCCTTTCATAGTTACTGCCTGCTTTCAAAATCTAAGCAATCTGCTTACAGTTGTTTATATTAAGCTTAAAAAATAGTGTCATGCTCATTGGTCAAGTTAGGAGCTATCACAGTTTACTATCTATAGAAATAATACAATGATGTTTACAGAGATAGGTATTGGTCTCAAGTCCTAGTGTTAACCACAAGAAGCACCACCTGACCAGTCCCAGATATGACGAAAAGCCTATTCTAAATCCAACTACTTACTAAATATTTCTGGTTTTAGTCCTCATTTAGTTAGTGTGTGACTTGGGATTGTGCCTAAATGGGTTTCGTAGGGCAGCATTCCTTGAGCCTTCAATCAAGAGATCTATTCCATAAGTCAGTTTCATGGTAGTCAGTAGGCGACAGTAGGTTCATACGCCTATTTCTCGTCAGCGGACATATGGGTGCATTTGAAAAGGGAAAGTGGTCTTTGCTCATATTCAGCCGTCCTAGGGGCCAATCTATCACTTCATAATCTCATTTCTATTGTATGAACCAGATATATATATTTCGCTGCTCCATAATACCAATCTTGAAATATATTGTTAAAACAAAGAAATCGAAACTATTAATTGAAATCCAACTACATTCAAGGCTAGTTTTTTGTATTTCAGCTCTTCATTCATATAGTTCTTTTATCATAAACCCGACTAACTGTTTTTTTAATCCATGTAATTTTATGCAATGTTTGTTTCAAATCAAAGCACAAAAAAACCCGTCATATAAACGCATTCATGCATGCATTCATTCATTCACTACATAAATATACATATATCTACAACATATAAGAACAAATGCTTTGATCTTAGGCAATTTACCACCTAAAACTTTCTTTCTCAATTATCAACCATTTTTCTTTTGTAGCAGCTATACAACTCTGATTGGATTTATTATTTCAAGCAGTTCCTTATTCTTCTTCTTCTTTTTTATTTGAATGTTGATCAACAGAATTCTTTTTGCATTATAGGGATTGTGGAAGTAGTTGTTGATTGAGTTCCATTGATGATGATGAGTTAGACCATCGGTGAATGTTGAAATGATAAGTTGAAGAATTCAGTCAGATAGATCTGACTGTACTATGGTCGAATGTAATTACCATCATATTGGAATCTTCTCAATGTTAGATACAAACACTTTGAAATGTGTCTGGATAATTTAGATAACAATGTGTTGAATTTCAGAACCGTAGACTTGTTTTCACAGAGGTCGGTGAATAACGACAGAGGATCAGACTGAATTAGAACGCAGAGTTTGAAGAAGACGCAATCTCACAGGCAAAAAGTGTACACCATATCATCGAATATCCATTTGCAAAACAAGCATATTCTTTGCTGTCTTCATTCACATATCTACTGATTGCGCCACTCATCCGGATATGACACTCTTCTCCTCAGTAATAACTACAAGACGACACTATTGAATATTGACTGCGTACTACTTGCAAGCCTCATTGTAAGTAGTACACCTGGAATATCACCTCAGTCTTATCTGAACTAGTCTGTATATATCATATTCAGATCTAATATTCAGTTATTGAAATTCAAATGTGATGGTCATTAAGCTGCTTGAAATCTTGTTTTGGTGAAGCAAAAGCCTAGTAGTTTGAGAGTTAAATATTCAATAGGCTTTGCCTAATTCAATCTACGTAACCTGGGAAAATAACTTCATGGTTAGAGCATTTGGTTTTCAGTAAATACGTTGCAGGTTCGAATCCTGTAATATCTAATTTGATTTAAGTAGTATTGTTAGCTTTCACATAGAAAGGTGTAGCTCATGTCAGAATAGATAAATCGGTGCTTAGTTGGTAACTTACAGTTATACTTTAAAAATATCAAATAAATTAATTACGGGTAAAAAAGTATCCATCTATATAATCATTCATTTAGAAACTTAAGAAAACAATGGGCTGTTTTTTTCATTTTCAAAATAGAACGTTATCGATTTTACGATACACCATTCTTGTCTGTACGGTGGGTATAAAGTGACTGAATCGAACCACTGAACACAACAGCTAACTATTGATATATTTTCCGTGTGGATATCGGTAATCGGTTTTGTGAGTAAAGTATGGACTGGATCTATTTAGTCACTTTAGTATTTTACCATAAAAATGACAGAGTTATTACATTCACTAAATTCAATTCGAAATGGTTTGAATTATCCTATTGTTGGTATTTTGACTGAAATTTGATCAGTTTTCGTTGGCTTATGGGTATTTTTATGCGGACTGCTTTGGTATGGCAATTATGCAACACGTTTATATAGAATGGGATTAGGAATGGAATTCAGGATGTGTATTTCGTCATGGTACTAGTTAGCTGGATGCACATGCATCTCAGAGTTGATGCTCACTCCGTGACTCTAACCCTGTACCATTTACTTCAAACACCATCGCGTTATCGGCTGTCAGCTACATTCTATCCATTCTATATAAACTTGTACCTTAATTGGTTATATCGAGGCATACTGCATAGGATGCCAATATACCAATCAAGATTGGTTGAATTTCAATCAAACTGTCAACAACGGAATAAACTAAAAGTTGTATTACGTCTCCTACTTACCCTTTACACAAGTGAATGGCTGGCTAATCTCAAAGGCTAGATGGACGTGATGGTGTTTGAAGTAAACTGTACTAGGTTCGAGTCCCGGAGTAAAAATCAACTCTCAGATATGACAAGTACATCCAACTGATGAGTTCCACAGAGGACGTAACGTACGTCCTGATTTTTACTGCTAGCTACCTTTTATCTATTCTACATAGAATACTTACTGTGCAGTGTTTGTTGTCAAAACATGAAGGTCCTGTGTTCGAACCCCGCCAGTAGCGGAAGTCGTGGATGCGCACTGCCACTGACGAGTCTCATACCAGTACGAAATGGTCATTCAGTGCTTCCAAGTTTCTAGGGGTGGTATAACACTGATCGATTCATGATTTCAGAAAATATTCTAGAATTAGCTCTTTTTTTTAGTTTACTTCGATACTCATTTATTTATTTCGATTTCATGCCAATTATGACTAGTGACTAGTTGTGTATTGATTCATTTATAAAGTCAAAACTTATTTGAATGCGAAATACATACATCCACGGTAGTTTGACCTTTTTTCATATTGTCAGTCTTCTTCAAGGGGCTTCCTCCTATGTTTTTGACTTTTTTTCAGGAGCAAACAAGTGAGAAAACACCTATAAAAGAGGATGTAAGTTACTGTGTTCAAACATAAATAACGTGGTATATAATTTGGTTTATTTACATAATTTCACAAAGTATGTTTCTATTACATTTTAAGAGTACAAACTTGTCATTTAGAAATAAACCAATACACTAATAGATATGAAGGATTTAAAATGGTTCTTAGACTATTTATTTAGTGGCTCACAAATGAATTGAATAATTTACTTGCTTAAACCTTAGTTGAACTAATTTGGCTACGGTTTATTGAATGCAGCAGCATTTCTTCAACTGAAGAACATGCACAGCCCAAAGCAACTATCAATCAACACCGAAGTCACAATTTTAGATACCAGTGTCAAAACACTTCTGCTGTATTGGGAATAAACTTGGGAAACCACAAAAGCCATCATACACAAGATGTAAGCGTTTATCGACAGATGTCTACGTAAGATATTGAGGGTCAGTTGATCATAGACAATTAGAAACAACCTACTTTGGAAGAAAACTAAATAGACTACAGCTGAGGAGGAAATTATGAAGAAGTGTACGCGGTGGATAGGACATACAAGCAGAAATCACCAAACTGCATCTCGTGGCAAGCCGTAACTTGGAATCCTCAAGGCCAAAGGAAAAGATTAAGATCATAGAACACATCAGGCCGAAAACTGGAAGCAGATATGAAAAGAATAAACAGCACTTGTGCAGAACTGGAACGGAGAAGTTATGACTGAGTAGTCTGGAGAATGCAGACCGGCGGCAAGAACGTCTGGACCAGTAGGCTGGTATCCAACAGTGTTAATGTCGATCTCTTGTCAGTCTAGGGACTTTGTGCATTTTCATCCTTTTGTATTCGGTAGTTACTACCTAAATCCGACAGGGCTGATCTTCACTGGTCACGTCTTCGTGGATGTGCACTGCTGATAAGTCCCACACTTAGACAAAATGACTTTCTTCTAGTTTCTAATGGTGTTCTAACAAAGATTCATTGATTGGTGATTTCACTGTGCAAAAACACTGATCCCCATAACTCTATTTGAAACGATTCATTATTATCTTTCACTAACTAACTTGTATATTTTCAATTTTTCTGAAAAGACAGTTTAATTGATTTATAAAAAGCTTAATGTCTATACTTATGCTGATAAAGATTTTTTTGACATGAATTCACTTTATCCTATTGAATAGATATCTCTTATGGAATTCTCATCTTTGATATCATCAAACCTCAACCTATGGTTATATTTTCTTAAAACGCAAATGTATTAGATTATAAATAATCTCATTCTATCTTACCGACAATCATCATTTCTAAAAGTTTCTAGTGAATGCACTAATTAATGAGTATTTTCATTTCAGTTTGAGATTATTTAGGCAATATATACATTAATAAACGAATGCAAGATTGATAAATATCAGACTATAGGCGTTCGCGCTGAAGACCGTAGCTCCTCCTGAGTTCGAGTCCTGTGAATAGCAGGAGTCACGAGTGCGAACTGCTGATAAATCCCAAACCAGAACGAAACGATTGTTTTCTAATACTTCCGGGTGTGTTTGATGGCGGTCTAACAATGATTCATTCATGATTTCAGTAATAAACAATTGAATTCAATATTTCACAACATACCATACATATTCAGGATGCGATTCTTCCCCTCGAAATGCAAAATATTGCTTCAAGATTGGGTCACATCGGCACCTGAACTATTGATAGGGAATAAAGCAGTTGAACGTGTTGACCGCTTCACTTATCTGGTGAGTCTCATCAGTGCTGATGGCCTGATGACTGTGACGAAATCTCAACTCGGATACAGAAGACTCGATTAGCTTTTGCAAACTTGCATCACTTCTGAGGTAGGCGAGATATCCGTTTGCTAACAAGAGGACGAGTATACTGCGCACCAGTACTCTCTATCCTACTATATGGTTGCGAAACATGGCCACTCAGAGTTGAAGATATTTGTAGGTTACTGGTTTTCGATCATACGTGTCTTAGAAGCATTGCTCGTGTATCTTATAGTTATGAATCTGACAGAGAGGAAGAAAATACACTGAAGTTCTAGATTACTGGAATTCTAGGAATATCAGAGAATTTCTGGAAGCTTGATATTTAGTTCAATCCACAACCAATGGTTACCTCATTTTAAACCCGGATCTATTAACCCATACCAAAAATATCAACCAACAACTTTTCAACACAACAAACGGGCTACTGAAGATACTCAAATCTGCGGCAATAACCAATCACATTCAAGGTCATCAAAACCATCACCTGTAATAACTAAGAAGCTAACTTGTAGATTTGGCAAGCTCTGATAATACTCTGTGTAGAATAGTAATGAAATCGCCAAAAATTAAACCATATAGCCAAAATAATTCAATAACAAATAAACCATTCACCATAAACTGCAGATTCTTCTCTCTTATTTATAGTCATTATTATTGATATCTTGAAATCATGAATCGATCAAAGTTAGATCATCATTAGATACTTGGAAGCACTGGATGGCCGTTTCATCCTGATGTGGGATTCGTCAGTAGTGCGCATCCACCCAGGACCTATCTTGCGCGCGAACGCTTAACCTCTGGACCACTGGGTAGGAGGTATCTTGCTCAGTGCAGCATTTATGGATGTCATACCAGGACGAAATGGCTATCCAGTGTTTCCAGGTTTCTAATGATAGTCTAACATTGATCGATTCATGATTTCATAATGTAACTCAACAATCTCGACAAACCTATAACGCTAATATTATTACCTTCTTTTTAATTTAAATCATTGCAAAAAAAATAAATCCGCATTCAATGATTGAAAACTTTCCCCTTTCCATCGCATATCATTGTCTCTGTCTTTTAGCTTTATTCTCATGCAAGGCGTGATAATTTTGAATCCCTTTTACGTACTTCGTTGTCAAATCGTTTATTTTTTTTTCACTGTTTTTGTTTCTCAATGTCTACGTTGTTTGTTCAGTTGTTCAAATATGAAATGTGTAGTGATTGTGTTAAAAAATATACATATTAGCAAAACTTTGATAACACAATGTTTAAACAGTGACATTTTTTTTCTCATATTGTTCATGACGAAATCTTTTTTATATGAATAATTTCAATTGAAATTTGACAGGAAGCTATAATTTTAAAGGAAATAAGCTAGATGCAGGTAGTAGAAAGAATAATTTCATTTTCAAACTATTGTTTTCTAGAAATAACAGACAGATACAACACAGAACTTCATACGTACGTACGCAGCTGTCAGTTCAGATCCCATAGCCGTAGAGATAGTAGAAGTATTAGCAGTAATGGAGAAGATTAGGGTTCGAAGATATGATTTGAGAAGCTTCATTCAGTGAGATAACTTTAGAAAGAGAAAGATAGAGATTATGAGGGATTCAGAAGGTTAGAATTTCAGAGAACACAGATTGGATACACCTGTGCCATTGCAAATGATTTTGAGCCATGTTGTTCAAGATCTCTAACCATTGGTGATCTTTGTCTCGCGGACCCCTACCAGGTAATCGACATCTTTCTACAAACAACAACAAAAAAACCAAAATAATTTGACAATACAAATCCATTGTATTTTTATTATCTAACCAATTTTCATGAATTATAGACAAGATGCTTCATTCGTCTGTTTTTTACCTCATAAAATAGTGTCTGTATGATGAATTATTTACGAGGGATTAATAATAATGTATATAATGTATGATGTACGACGGATGATGAGATATTTAAGAATGAATCGATCTTGACTAAACTGAATGCATATTCAGCTAGTACGTGTTAGAAATTAAACTAATTATTACACTGACGCTTTTTATCCAAAAAAAATGTTCAGTGTTGTATTGTGGATAGTAGAAAAACAGTTAAATTCAATACTCGTCATTTCAGTAGTATTCCTTTTAACATTATAGTATTATATCTCTATTTTCATTGAATCTTGAATTTTGGTGCAGGAGTGTGATTGCCAAATGTATCCAATCGAAATAGTTATCACTAATCGTTCGACGTGTATAACAAATATTTGATCCCGTGCTCAGTGCTCCAGAGGTTAGGCGTTCGCTCGCAAGACCAATGTTCCTGGGTTAGAATCCTGAAAATAGCAGGAGTTGTGGATAGGTACTGCTGATGAGTCCCATACCAGGACAAAACGGTCGTCCAGTGCTTCCAGGTTTCTAATAGTGGTCTAACAATGATTCATTCATGATCCCAACTCATAAAAACAACGAACTACATACATATGACATTGGTAATCTTTAAGGAACTGATACTCCATCAGGGATTCGATCATGGGTCACTTAGCTTCACAATCTCAAATGTTAGCACTAGGCTTCGCGGGCCATGACTAACCTCCTGAAGAATCGAACTATGTTAAACACAATGTTGAGTCACCTAGATTGATGGTCACATTGCAACATGGCCAGTAGAATTCGATCAGCGCTATGACTTACCTAATATTGGTCACCACCCAGAGGTTATAATCAGATGCTTAGTTTGCGTACAAATCTCTTTTTATCTTTGAATAGTGTCATAAGTATCTCATTCATCCTTGACAGAATTATCACATAATTTCTATTTTCTTTTATTCACATCATGTATTATTTTTACATCATTTAGGAGGAAATCGATGTGAAACCATCTCAAAATTCAGGTAATGTTAGTATTTTGTTTATATGTTATAGTGTTATTACATAAAAGATTTTTGATATTTGATTTTTTTTTCAATAGTTACATTATTATTCTGTATTCTTAAACGTTAGTTTTATACAAACAAATTTCAGTCAACATGAAACTTATCGGTTGCTCTTAATCGATAATAGTTTCAAACTATGTCGAGTCATTAAGATTTGTAGACTGTAATCATTACTATAGCGTTAGATAAACAACGCATCATGATTCACTATTCAATGATCAGTTAGTGTAAGTTTTCATTTCTCTATACGCAGTTGTCATTTACCACTGAAGTGGTTCGTTCAGTTGTACAGTGGTATGGATTTCAGTACAATGAAAATCATTAGTTCTCTGAAGCTTTACGTGTTACCAATATGCATCACAAGAACAAATAAAGTTCTTGTCAAATTTAATGGTTTTATAAGAAGGGTGATTAAAATCTCCTTTCAAAAAATACGTTTTTTAATATGTAATTTTAACTTCAATTGGTTCACGGTAATGCACAAGTTCACCCACTGTCTTCGGTAAGCGTTGCTTGATACCTGAACAAGGTTGAAATCCACTGGTAACGACGACTTTCCACTATAACCGTTGGATGTTGACTCAGCGGTTCTAGGCGTTCGTGAGCAAGACCGAAGGTCCTAGATTCCAGTCCTGTGAGTAACGGGAATCCAGGATGCGCACTACTGATCAGTCCCATACCAGGAAGAAACGGTCATCCAATGCTTCCAGGTTTCTCATGGTGGTCTATCTAACATTGATCGATTGATCATTTCAAAATGTAACCCAATCTAATCTCCACTATCCTATAGTGAAAATTTGAGTTTAACAGAAAACAATTCAAATCTAGTTCCTGTTCTCTTTTTTTTACAATATTTCAATTGATCACTTGTTTACTTATATCATTTTAGATGCTGAAGGCTAATTGTGAACACATATGAATGAATCAATATGGAATTTCATAGCAGCTTATTTTACTTTAATTTCATTTTAGTTTGATTGTTTTTATTCCCACCTCATGTGAAAGTTTTGTGATAATTTCCAATATATATGTACAATATTACTCCAACAGCACAAAAAAAACGCGCACATTTTTTCTCTTAATAATTTATTTTATACACACTGATCGACCATAAACTATTGATACTCAATCATGTGAACATTATAACATTTGGTACTACTACTACTATTATTAAAGAAATCAGTAGTATGTATTTCCTTTGTTTTCCGATATACAAACATTCTTTTTTCCTTGTTGTTTCATCATAGTTGGCTAACAAAACACTGTTAAACACATGAGCATGCTTTATCATTAAAGGCCATCATTACGTCACTGATTAGACAATGTTTTGTTTAAATTTCATTCCATTTGTTTTTCTCAAAACAAAAAGAAATCTCGACATTTTTTTTTGGAAGAGTTAGTTTGTGAAATTTTATCACTTAAAACATGATTTGTATCTTTGTTCTTTTTCACGTACGCACATGATAAGATGGTTGTTGTCCAGTTTGTTTGAAACAACTCGTTCATCGTTCAATGTTCAATTTTTATTCGTTAAAAATGAGTGACTTGTTTTTCTTTCAATATGTTGTTCAATAAATATGTTTGTCAACATTTACATTAAAATTGATCATTTTAGTTTTTGTGTGATGATAATAATAATAATAGTGGTACGTCAACCAGTTGTCAGTGGCACAGGATCAAGTATAAATGTGCAGCAATCTCATTTGGTTACAGTTGACGTTAGTAAAATTGAAATAACTGCAGAAACGAGTACTTACATAAACACATTTTAGTTGTACACTAGGTTAGATGTTATTCAGTTGTAATGTCTCTGATTTTGAAGCTGAGTAATACAGAGTCAAATCCACCATACAACATCAGTTATCTTAATGTTACAGTTTCATATAGCTGTCGACTATCTCCAACCACTACCTTTCATGGGAAACTAGTACATGTACAACTTGAAAAAGATGAGAAAACCTAATAACACATGAAGACTTTACTGGCTTGAAAAAGAGAAAACGACGACAAAGTATTTATCAAACACGTTTATTCGTTTATACATATTACTTGCATTCAATAGCAATTTAGCGTGTTGACCGCTTCACTTATCTTAGGAGTCTCGGTGATGATGGCCTGATGTCTAACGAAATCAAGGCACCGATACGAAAGGCCCAGCTGGCTTTTGCCAGTTCGCGTCACTTATGGCGTAGACGAGATATCCGTCTGCTAGTCAAAGGAGGAGTCTAGTGCGCATCAGTTCACTCCGTCCCAATCTGTGTATGCGAAACATTGCCAGTAGGTGTAGAGAATGTTCGTAGTTTGCTGGTATTCGATCATAGATGTATTCGAACAATTTCTCGTTTGTCTTGGGACAATCTGGACGAAGTAGTGAAACTTCATCAGCTGAGGTGGTTTAAACATATGTTACCACCGACTGCCTCGATGAGCTATATTTTTTGGTTTAGGGGTACGCTGGAAGAAAGCTATGTGTGGTCAAACCAAAACATGATACAAATCCACAACTGGACTGAGTCATGTTAGTAGATGTAGACTGCCAGGTTTTGATCCGCGGGAGAATAATGACCGATGGTTAGAGACCATGAATGAAACGGCTCAAAATCGTTTGCAATGTCACAGCTGCATTCATTCTTTGTGTTCTCCCAAATTCCAATCTTCTGAATTTCTCATCAGCTTTATCTTTCTCG